AAGGCATGGATCCTTATGCCCATACCCGTTGTCACTTCTGTACTTACCACCATGCACGATTTAGCGTACGCCTTGGAGCCATTAGCACTTACATCGATGTCTATAAATCGTCATTAGGTATATACATCATGGGCGTTGATTTAAGGACTTCGTAGCTCATGAAGACTGGCGACGTGTTCCGATGTGTCGGTATTATAAGATGTACCATCACACCCTTGCGGTTCTCCGCTGCAGAGCTCATCTCTGCAAGTTTGAACATTCCTAGATCCCCATGATACGCCATGGCAGGAAGCAGCTTCTTCTCTACTTTCTGCTGCGTGAAATCAACGACCCGCACCATGTTTGGATCGGCATTTGCGTATTGTGCAATAGCCGACCTCGCCACGTAGCCTAGGAATGAGCGGTCTCTGGATGAGATCACGTTGGTGGTTCCGTCCTGGTCTAAAGGTCGGCCCGGGTGTCAATCATCGGATTGGACTAACTAGCAAATTGTCACGTACCTTCAATCTGCTTGTGAAACTCGCCGCATCTTCGTCTATGGCTTGCATCCCAGTGCTTCTTCTGACATTCTGCAGAGCAGTAAAAATACTTGAAGCCGCATCCAGAACACGATCGCAATCGGGCTGGTTGGAGTTTGCGGTTGGTACACTGGAAACAGATACTTGTGTCAAAGGCGTCGTTGTTGGTGCATAAAACAGTACTCACGCCTTTCCACTCGCAGACCGTCGGAGGGTTCTTCCTGTACTCTTTGCGGTCTACTTCAAGTTCTCCAACCCTATCCAAAAACGCTGTCCACATCTCGCTAGTCTTCGGGCGGCCCATCTTATCAATTCTATGCTGGGTCTTGGCAATGTGTTTTAGTATTGAATAATATATGAGGTACTGGGATGCTTTCGACAGGATGCCGGACACAAGTTCTGCATGTTGATCCCGAATTTTGGTGGACGCACAAGAAACAGCGAGTGTACCTTCGAACTTGAAGAGACTAGTGATGACGTCCTGCTTGCACGCTGTCTCCATGAGAGAGTAGGTCATGAAGATACGGTCTGTGAGGGTGTACGCCGCCTTCCAAAGACAGTCTCCCGCAAGAGATATCAACATATCAGCCTCTTTGCCCTTCTTCCCATCGACGAGATGGAGGAGGTGTGTGGATGAAGCAACACCTCTGATGATATTGCACATCAATCGATAATGACCCTGTCGAAGCAACTCTGGCTTGACAGTCTCCAGACTGTAGTCGTTGTAGAACATATCGATGACAGTACACGTGTCATACAGTATCCGGAGACATCGAGTCATAGTGGGGACTGTCTTTGCAGATCTGAGACGATATAGCTCACGCGTCGCGAGAAACCTGTACGCGGCAACAAAAGAAGCAACATCTTCCAGTAAACCATCATACAACCGCTTGCGCCAAAGGGGGTCTGTAATTTGCTGGAGATTGAACTTGAGCATCAACAGGTGACGAAGAGCGTTGAACAAGTTCGATAGGACGTTGCGCGCGAGTATTGCCTTGGACATAGTCGTATGGCTCCGAATCAGTGGGGGGATTACGTCGGGTATGAAGAATCCAGAAGAGCCGTGATTCGATTTTAGAGTGCTGAACGGCTCGCATATCTCCGCGTCCTCACACAAGTTTTGGATAATCCCCACAAGACAATGTGAAAGTCATGCTGAAATTCGGAGGCGCGCCCTGGGACGATTATATGGTGGACGCAGTATGCCATCCAAGCTGAGATGGGCTCCAGAAATTTACGAATGAGCTGTTTTGCGTCTTTGGCATTCAATGAAGAGAGTAGGCCAAGCTCCATACTGTGATACAACGCATACAGTGAATGAAACGCGACGTTGAGTGGATCTCGAGCATCGTCGGATGGTTCGGGACGCGTTTTTGGTGCAACGTTGCGTTGCAGGTTTTGGGTGAAGAGATTATAAAAGCGATTGTAGGAGGACCTGGTGAAGGGAGCCTGGAACGCTGCCACGAATAGGGGACCATCGCGCTCAGCTTTCAGCATCGCTATGTCAAAAATTAACGCATCGTCAATGATATGAAGATTCCTTACAAGTTTTGTCTGGGATTGTCAGAACTCTGGATGAAAGGCGCTATTATAATAATGGCTGGTATCGCTGATGGCTGTCAGGAGGCATCGACGAACACGTAAAGTTGTTTCGAAATTCCGACCGATCAACCAACCCACAGCTACCCACCGCTTGCACTGATCACAAACTAAACTAAACCAGATTCTACTGCTCAGAGTCTCATGGTTCACATCTCAAAATATCATCTTGAGCGTTGTTTCTGATTACCGACTGTGCCTATACGGAAGCTTTTATGATAATCCATATCTTCCCATGTCCACATGTATTGACCAAATTCCGCTGATCTTTCCCCTCTGCCTAAGTTGTATCAGGATATCTGAGAAGCCTCTGTTACTTCTGCACCATGTACATGGTACAGATCTTTTTGCTGAGCTTGCTTTCTGCCACATATGCTGCTGTCCTCGAGGACTTTCAGGTCACCCAGCCGCCCATCGTACCTGTTGGAGTTCAAGAATGCACTGTACAAGTCCTTCAGTGTGTTTTCTGCTTCGTAACAACGCTGTTAGCGACTCATTGGGCGGATTTCAAGACGCGACTTTGCTTTCTCGTTTGGCATGTACGAACTCTCTACGTCTAGTACCTTTCATGAATCTCTGAACCGAAACGACTAGGTCTGAAATCGTAGAGTTGACGTGCGTGCTATTCGTTGAGACAGTGTTTTGTGGGCTGACCAAGTCGAATCAAGACCTCCTACGGATTGTGGACCGGTTGGCTCTTGGTCCGCTATCACTCTCAACTTCACCGTCACGTCAAACGGCACACAATTTGATCGCCTGGGTATCTTTACCTTCAAAAACGTCGAAAGTGAGCCGGCAGAATCTGTATATAGCTGCACTGACGACATCCGTGGCAGTATGGCGCACGTCCACGCCAGAACCTACGCGGGGAGACGGGATCATTTGGACGTACATCAAGGACGTCACGAAGTACATGCCTCTATTCGAGACCACCGGAACATTCATCCTTCAATTGGACAATCTAATTCAGACAGGCTTGGACGGAGTGTATTCCAGTAAGATGGTTCTATACTTTGTCAGCGCGTTGCCTCACTAGAGACCCCTTCACCCAGCCATTTTGCAGGCGACTTACTATGCGTCAACGGAAGAATTCCCACCAGCACCGAAAGCCGACCTCATTGTCCCCCTCTCTACATTGGCTAATGATACAGGAAACGACGCTTCAGTTCCGCCTGCATTCTCGGTATTCTCACGTTCTGTCGTCACAATACATGGCACTCACCAATTGCTCAGCTCAATGTCACGCTTCCGGTGAACACCGTCAAAATCTTTGCTGAACTGTTTGCTTCGGGGAACAGTCAAGAGGAATTCTGGGTAAATCTTAACATATCTTATTTCGTTGTGAAGTTCCACTGACGAATCCCCAGTACCTTAACGCGGCAAACGATTTCATTTCTGATCTTCCAGACGATACGACTTTCCCGCAAGGACCTTTCAGGGAACTTCGATTACTAGTGGATGGTCAAGTGGCGGGTGCTGCCTTCCCGTATGCTGTCATATTTACCGGCGGAATCAATCCCTCCCTTTGGCGGTATGTTCCCACCTCCACCTGCCCCAAAATTTCGTCTGATGAAGTCAAAGACCTATCTCAGCCTATGGAGCCTTGGACGAACCTACTTATTTCATTGATGTTACTCCTTTTGCGCCACTCTTAGCTGATGGGTAAGCGACGATTGTGGAGCCAAAGCAAGTTGTTGACGGGTCCGGACATTTTACAGTAACCCCACAATTTTGCAATCGACGTAGTTTCAGCAGAAGCAGACCACACCATCGATCAAAATTGGTTCGTATCCGGGTTGCTACAGGTTATTACGGACTCTTCTTCCGCGCCGACTACTGGAAATATCACTGTGTATGATGTCGCTCCTTTTGCAAAGAGCAGCGTATCAGGTAACGTCTCGGATTCCGGTGCCGACGTCGACATTACGGTCAGCGCGACCAGAAACATTCATATCGAGTCCACCGTTGTAAGTGGAAGTGGAGAGGTGACACACGTCGTGTGGACACAGAACCTTACGTTCTCCAATGTTCAAAGCTATCGCGACGACGCTGTGGTACAGGTATGTCGCAGTATTCTCTCCCATTCGTTGCCTGACACGCCTTGCGTGTAGTTATTGCAACAAACTGCAATGGGCCATGCTGTGTCTAAACACAACGACGAGATAGTCGTATTGGATACCTTCTCATACCCTCTCGATATTGATTTCAGGTTTGACAATGCTGACCTTACAAACTGTGAGTGGCGCAACGAATGCGAGCCCTTACTCATCACAGCTTTCACAGGGACTAGCGCAGTGAATCATTCGTACGACCGTGTTCTGCAAGCAAATCCACTTGTTCTAGGAACCACCATCCACAACGTGCAGAACACCGGTTCGTGGCATGTCATCTTTCGATAAACACCGCAAACTGACTTCAACGCCACCTTCGTAGACGGTTTCTTCCAGTTACGTACCGGTGGAAATTTTGGTAACGGAACCAACAGCAACACATTCAGCTATGTCGACACGGCGGGAAATACATTTAATCGAAGGGTCAATGCTGCTCTAAATGTCATCACTCTCGATGAAGAAAGCGGCACTTTGGCACCACTGTCGGCACAGAAGAACTCGGGAACTATGGTTGGCGAAACAGTGGTCTCAGCCGACCAAGTTCGATTACCAGGGAAAGGTTCAGAAGTTTAGGACGTTCAGAGTCATTGGCATCGCTTGCGCCAATCAAGTACTTAGTCCTTTGTAAAATTGAGGTGAACAGACTAGTATATACCTAAAATCTTGCAATCCGTGTGGTAACGTGTTGTGTCAACAGCATCAGTGTATGTGCTCATCCAATTGCTCCTGAGTGTCTGTGCGCCACAGTTCATGTTGCTTGAAGTCAAAAAGCTGCTCACGCCCAGGATTGAACTGGAGACCCTTGCATAGTCGTAGTGTATCCTCATAAGTACAATGCTCTACCACTGAGCTACGCGAGCAATTCGCTGATTTTCAGCCTGATACATAATAGTTTTGCGAAGAATAATACCAGACGGTGGTAGGATCAGACTAGCTTCTTGTTTTCGCAGGCTACACAGGTGGCAAGGACTGTTCATGACAAGTCCCACCTTCTACGCGGATGAACCGTGTCCCTACCCGGCTAGCCTGCTCTTCCGAATGTGTTATCCATACAATGACTTTCAGCGAGCTCTCTTCCGAACGCAACTCATCCAACAAGGTCTGTTCCACTGATGAGGACGACCGCTGGTCCAAAGCAGAAGTCGGTTCTACGCCGTGAAAGGTTAGTCCTCCCAGTATACTCGCATGCAAGATGGACCGACCGTCGAGGAGGAGCACCTCAGCCGTGTTCAACCCAACAGCCGTGGCTAACGCCATACGTTGCGATTCACCGCCGCTCAGTGTCGTCCACTCGCGATCCCATAAGGATTCTTCGATACCCCAAGCGCTACCCAAATCGATGATGTTCTGTGTTACGCTAAGAGTCGGGCCGATGGCGTCTGAGCGTACTTTCAACGATAAAAGAATTCCGATAAAGTCGCGAGGAGATCCTGGAAGAATCGGTGGGCGTTGAGGTACATACGACACCTTGGTTCTAAAGTAGGGTATTCCTGTGATTGGACGTTTAACAGAGAAAGAGACTGGGTACGATGAGTGTTGAACGGACCATATGTTTTTGGCGTTCTGACACGAGAGAATATCAGAAATTTACGCGTCTAGAGGTGATGGACTAACTTGTCACGATATAGGACCTGTCCGTCATACAGATTCAGATGAGCGATACATTTGAGGAGCGTTGTTTTCCCCGACCCGCTTCTGCCCTGCAGAACAATCACATCGCCTTGGCAAGTGCGTTTGACTCGTGCATCACCGTAGAGAACGCATCATACCTTGATTCACAGACAAGTTCACATCGTCAAAAATGAATTCACCAGGCGTGCCACTGGAGACGTGTTTAAGTTCAAGTAGGGAAGTTGACATGATTGTTTGAACAAGGGCCGAACGCTCTGCGCAGTCACACATCTAGAAGGAATTGTTCGTGGGCATCGTAACGTGCATATTGGACGCCATGCAATGAGTGAGGATGCGTATAAGTGACACGGAGGTATTATGTCGTGAATTTCTAATTGTAACATAGCAAATAAATCATGAAGCCATGGGCATCTGCGCCTCCATCTCCTCTTGCGTCAACGACGTGCTTTCAATGGCTACACCGAATCCAACTTTTGCAGCATTCTATATTACATTGGTTAGAGTTTCACTTGAAAGAAGGCGAAGGAACAAACCTTGAAGTGGTCAATCTCGCCGGAGAGTGTAAACGAGAAAGTGGGGGTGAACCGTTGTTCAAGGAGAGCGGATACCTTGCCCGTAGAGTCAAGCTGGGCACGGAAGCAAGACATGCGTAGGTCATATTTGGCACCAATCGTCGCAATGGCGTCTCGCCGAGAAGGTGCTGTCATAATAGACAGATCTGCAGCAAAGTCGACCTTCTCACTCAGCTTGTGCCAGTACGTCGCTTGTAATACGCCCATAGGCTGAATGTTGGCCGTGGCGATCCAGGATTTATCGGTAGCGGTAAGCTTTGCGATATAGCTGGCCACAAACTCGGAGATGTCGGGAGTGGGATGTTGGAACATGCATTCGGTACCAACGGCAAGGTTTTTGGTGAGGGACTGGAGGTAGCTACCGACATAGATACCGGTCAGGTCCGACGGCCAAGGGTTCAGAGCTTTCAAGTTGAGGTTGTAGTCTAGCCCTTGGTAGTCCTGCTCTGCTTGGAGCAAACTGTGCCCGGGTGTGGCTGATATCTGCGACAGTTTACGTTGACCTCCCAATCGCGACAACGGATAGACATACCTGCGCCTGCATTTTTGTAACATTACGCGGGGACCAGCCTTGATTTATACGCGCGTTTACGTTGCCGTCGTGGTCAATATTTCCCTGCAAAAATATCTGGAGTGATACGTGTCTCAGTGAAAGTGCCCTGCCAAAGAGGAAGTGTGCCAACATTCTCGTTGCCAAAAACGGCACCAAAGTTGTAGGAAGGGGGAGCGACCTGCGAGCCAAGTTGGAAGGAATGTGTGACTTGGAACAGCGGGTTCATAGACATGCTTTTGGTCAAGTCGGCGCGGGCTCCATCGAAAAATGCACCAAGCATATGGGTAGCTGGTACAATTCGCGTCAAGTAATGCATAGTCAGACTGCGTGAACGACATACCCTTGACTTCCTTGGTCATATTTTCGACATTGCCAGGATATGGTAAGCCCAAGTCGGCGCGCCATTTGGAGAGGCGACGGAAGACGGAAAATGGGCCACTGGGCGTCTCTGACGGCGACGACGACGACGGAGCGTAGGGGTCGACGAGCCCATCTTTTGTTGAGGGAACGGAAGTAGAGGCCATAGCGGTCTGACGCGAGTGCAAGCGTGAGCTTTGAATATGAGAAAACTTTAAAGTCTAACCAAACACGACCAAATTCAGGTTCGTGACCGACTGACCAACCTTCAAGGCGGCGCGTACAACACCACTTGGTCAATGTAGAGCGTCGCATCTGGGGCGTTTGTGGCGAATAATCCGACCGGACGTGTTTATCTGGCGAGGGTCTGTGTACGACTAAACGCGCCTTGATGCATGATGATGCGGACCTTCTGTACAACAAAAATGGAACATCTTGCGGGTCCTCTTTGGACCACGTAACGCTAGTCTGTTCGACTTGAATGTTGATTATGGTTCTTGTGCGCGACAGCGGCGACTGCGAGATGACCTGACAACTCAAGAATGAGGTTTGTCCCGGCGCAGCTCCCCTCCTTGGATACCAACTTAAAGAGCTTGCTTCATAAACCGCCCCCGGACTAACTTTTCTTCGTACTCATTCTCCAGTACTCAGCCAGGGTTGCAAGGTTGCTCCACTTTTGATCTCCGGCTATCTGCGCGTGGCGGCTCCAAATTTTGTTCTCAACTGCGTGTCCCTATATATAACCCAAGGAGTCCGGCGTCCGCCAACATTTTGCTTCTTCTCCCCGTTCTTCCTTCGCGCCCGATAATGCTCCCCATCATGACCCCCCGACGTTTTGCTTCCATCGTCCTCGTTTTGGTCGTAAGTCATTCGTTGGTCGTATTGTTCTATTCTCAACGTTTACAGGTCAGCATGCACTACATTCTCTCCATGTCCTTTGAGGGATATGGACACGTCGCATCCCTTGCCACCTTTCTTGACAACTCTTCGCCGCAGGACGAGCCCTCCGCTAGATTCTCCTCATCACTAGCACTAGGCGGACCTTCGATAGCCAACTCGCCTCATCACCATTCCTTCAACACCACCGGCAACGCCAATGCCACTTTCGTTCTTTTGGCCCGCAACAGCGACATCAATGGCGTGGCAGCCAGCATGCAGTCTGTCGAGGACCGCTTCAATAAACACTATAACTATCCTTGGGTCTTACTGAACGATGAGCCGTTTACGCAAGAATTCATCGAGTACGTCCCTTCTCCGTCGCCTTGATCGCGTTCTAACACATCCGCCATTAATTTAGACGTGTCAGCGTTCTGACCCGCGCACCCATCTCTTTTGGTCTCATTCCAACGGAACACTGGCAGCAGCCTGATTGGATAGATGAAGATCGCGCTCTAGCAGGCAGACAGAAGATGATGGCTCAGCGCATCATTTACGCCGGTAAGCATTATCGCGGTCAATTGCTCCATTACTGATTTTCACGTCGATTCGTCTCAGGCAGTGTATCGTAAGGATTCGTTGTCACCCATAATCGGTCGCGTCTGACAGAAGATGCTAGCTATCGGAATATGTGCCGTTTCAACTCGGGGGTATGTGGCCCCAAGGTTCGTGTGTCTAGAGTGGAGCTAAACCAGCATGCTTCCAGTTCTTTTTCCGTCATGAGCTTCTCCAGCCATATCGGTACTACTGGAGGTGTGTGTTGCTGCATGACCGGAAACATTTCGCGAATTTACTCATTGTTTCTTAGGGTCGAGTAAGTTGTTCCTTAGGTGCCGCGCCGAACTGCAGAACTGAAGTCCCAGACCGGATGTCAAGTTCTTCTGTGACATCGCCTACGATCCTTTCGTATACATGCAGGAGCATGAAAAGATATACAGTCAGTCTACCACTGACCGAAATGGGAACCTTTGAGTCTCATCTTCTTCTCAGGTTTCACGGTATCTCTACTCGAATGGGAGCCCACCATACCAACCCTATGGAGCGCGGTAAAAGGTAGGAAGGATAGCTATGGTTATCAAGGGATGACCATAAACTCATTACTTGCCTAGAATTTATCGCATTGAACCCAAGCTATGTTGATCCCCAGAATGCAATGGATTACCTCTCGAACGATGGGGGCGATACCTATAACCTATGTCATTGTGAGTGTTTATCTCTCGGAACTCTTCGCTCGTTTGACGTGACATGCAGTCTGGAGTAACTTCGAGATCGCAGACATGGACTTTTGGCGGTCCGAACGCTACCAAGCTTTCTTCGATTTCCTCGAGGCGAAGGGCGGCTTTTACTATGAGGTACGAAGCTCTGTCAGTTAGACCACAAGTGCGTTGCTCAACATTGTTCGTAGCGATGGGGAGATGCTCCAGTACATAGCATAGCTGCCGCACTCTTCGCAAGACGAGATCAAATACACTTTTTCCGCGACATAGGCTACAAACACGAACATTTCCAGCACTGTCCACAAGGTGACCAGTGGGCACAAGGCCGGTGTTCGTGTGATCCTAACGATAGTTTCGGTCTGTGCTCGTCTCCGCGCGGCTTTGAAGATTTTGACTGACAAGCTGTGCAGACTACGCTCCAAATTCTTGTGTTAAAAAGTTTGAAAACCTCTTTGCATAGCGGCTGGACAACGCATCCTCATTGTATCATTAGTGCATATCTTATACATTATTTGTACCATACTACTGAAGACTTGAATCGACTTGCTGGCGCAGTTCGGCGGCGTCTTGCTACGGAAAATGCCTTGACAACA